GCCCGCTCACTGTCCCCCCTACTCCCCAACCCTCCCCTGCCCCTGCACCATTTGCTAGAAACTTGAGCTGGAACAAATGTCCTTATGAGGCGAGAGAGCAGGCCTTCCCTCTGGGACCCTCAGGGTCCCTGGGGCTCTGCTCACCGGCCTGCTGCTCCTGCCCGGGCTCCTGTGGTTTCCCACTTAGCTCTGCTCAAAGCCTGACCCTGAGCGAGGAGGTGTGGTGCCCGGGCACAGGCAGGAGGGGTGCCCTCCTTCTGCTGTGCTCAGGTGTCTGCAGACCTGCCCAGAGGTGCTCAGCTAAGCCGCCTGCCTCTGGCAGCCCTTCCCTGTGGAAAATCCCCGACCTCGGCCTCAGCCAGCCCGCCTCCCTCTCCCGCCCGCCAGCGGCGCTTCCTCCACGGCAAACACCGGAGAGCGTGCAGCCCTGCCCTCCCTGCTTGCGAAGGTGCTGATGCTGCCGAGAGCAAGGGCCCCCCCTTTCCTCGGCCTGTGACTACTTCCAGTGGCCGGTGGTCCCAAGGCAGGCTCGCTCCCCAGGTGTCCCTGCTCCGGCCGCAGGTGTCCCTCTCAGCCGGCCGGGCCACCCCCTGCCGAGGTCCCCGTGTCCCCTGTAGGTTCCATCTTCATAGGAGCGTCTGACTGTAATAAATGTGTTTTCTCTGAACCCTATGCTAATAAAAACTCCTAAACAAAACCACAAAGCCATTCAGGTTCTCAATATTTTCAAACTATACGAGCAAAACAGATAAAAACAAAAGACGAACAATAAGTAATAGTACCAGGTTATCTTGCAGAAAGATTCAAAAATTGTGCCATGTCCCTTTAATTTTAAAAATGCCTAGAAATTTCATGAACCGTGTAACCAGTGGTGTGTTCAGCCTGTGATCCTGTCTGACCCTCTCCGACGGCCTGGACCTGTTCACCGGCCCCTCCGACGAGGGGTTTGCGGAACCTCCTCCCATCACTCGGTTCCTGTGGCCCCTGATGACGCTCACCTTGGCCAGGGCCGCGTAAGCGAGCCCCAGGATCCCATTCCACTGAATGCCAGGCAGGAAGAAATTCTCCGACTCGAAGATGGTGGCGATGTTGACGAGGAAGGAAGTGTTGAAGCCCTTTGTGATGGTGACCAAGTCCTCCCCCACGGAGCCTGTCCAGCTGCCTTGCGTGTACTTCACAGTGACATCAAAGCCCTTGGGACGGTAAGTGCTGGACCTGGAGGGAGAAGAGAAGGCCGGGTCGTGTTCTGCCTGGTGTCCGCGTCCCGCTGGCCGGCCGTGGTGGCTGACAGCTGTCCTAAACCCAGTCAGCTGCAAGAAGTTCCCACCAGTGCGCACTGGACACAGCCACATCTCCCCCACATGGATCGTTACTACTGTGTGGGCGACAGCTGTAGCAGGAAATACTGGGTTAACATGTGGTCCCTAGGCATACCCCTCTCGCACCGCCGTAAAGGCCCACAGGCCAGCTGTTTCACGTTACTGGGTCAGCCTGTGAAGACACAACTGAGTGTGGGCACCTGCCTGGCCGTCTGGCTGGGTGGGGGCCCTGCACCGGGCTTGGTGACAGAGGGAGGGGCGAGCAGCGCCACCAGCTTGTGCCAGCAGCGGCCGAGGGCTCAGATTCACACAACCAGTGAAGTGAGTAAAGACGAAGCCATTCCCGCCAACGCCACAGGCCTCCCTCCCCCTCAGGCCCCACACTACCCCCTGATGTCCCAGGTTCCCTCAGGGCTCCCCCCAATGCCCCCAAGTTGATTAGACTCACAGCAGAATGTGGGGGGTGAAGCAATGGCATGCTTGATACAAATTACTGCGACACCATCTCCCACCCCATATGCATACAGCCCTAAGCACAGGAGATACTCAAACACAGTGACAGAACAAGGCAAGACCATGGACAGGACAATGACACAGACAGACAACAGGCAGGTGAACACATAACACTCCCGTGGTGAGAGCTACCCAGGGGCTAGAGCTACAGCAAGCATGTCAAACTCAAGGCTCACACGGGCCGAGTAAACAAGGTTTAAGATTATGGGTGCTGCAAAAAACCAAAAGCTTTAATTTTCATAGCAACGTGGGTTTATTTCGATAGAGACACAGTAAATACAAAGGACTGAAATAAATGAGTCATCGTTAACATAAAATAATAGAACATTTTAATAAAAATTAATATTTTTTCTTGAACATTAACTTACCAGACACTGAATAACTGCACAAATTAATCAGTGTAATGCAAATAAACCTATTTTTCTTGTTCTCCGAAAGTGAAATATTTCCTGTTGCGCACACGAAACAAGTCAGTCCAAGACTAATGCCGTGGCCATCGGCTGCTAAAATATTCGCTGCTGGTATTAGTGGAGAGAAATGGTGCGCCTGCGCGTCAGGCATGTGAGGGAAGTGAACGCAACACGATGACAGTAATCAGTCATTAGCAAATGTTATAGTTCGTTATTAATAATTATGTATAACAGGATATTGTAAAAATTAAGTTACGAAATTTGTATTAAAACATTTACTACATACCGTTATACTGACTGGGCCGCAAAAATATTCGTTGTGGGCCACATGCGGCCTGGGGTTCATGAGTTTGACATGCTTGATCTAGAATGTTCTTGGTGGCCGCCAGTTTTCACTCCCCCTCTGTCCTAATATTAAGTCTCTAAACATTAATGTTAACACGCCTTTGTGTTAGAATTCCATGAATTAGTGCAGTCCTCTTTGGAGTCGGGAAGCAAAGGTAGTCAGAGATGACAAGACCTCCTTTTTCTTGGTACATCAGAGAGGTTTGAAAATAATGGCCTCTGATTCAGTAAATTGCACTCCTGAGACTCTGACCCTAAGGAGATGACCAGGAAGCAGACAGAGGTTTATGCACAAAGACAGTCATTATGTTTGACCGAGAACAGTAACAACTGGAAACCACCCAGATGCCCACACCGAGGAGCTGTTTGGTAAATTATCATACATCCATACGATGGAATATTACACAGCACTGAAAAACAGTATTTACTGAGAAATTTCCAATGACAAAAAAAAATTAAGGTAAAAAATGTATATATGTGGCAGAATCTTCTTCAAGAAGCATGGTGGGGTTTTGCAGGGCAAATGCTTGCTCTTGTGGTTAGGCCCTTCATACACATAACTTTTATATTTAGGAGAACATAAGTAACTTTTTAAAATGTGTTTTCTATTGATTTCAGAGAGAAGAAGGGAGAGGGAAAAAGAGATAGAAACATCAATGATGAGAAAGAATCGTTAATCAGCTGCCTCCTGCACGCCTCTTACTGGGGATCGAGCCCGAAACCTGGGCATGTGCCCTCGACTGGGAATCAGTCTCGGGTGACCTCCTGGTTCATGGGTTGACACAACCAATGACCATCCCAGCCGGGCGAGAGAACACATAACTTTTATAATTAGGGGAATATATAACTTGTAAAAATATCTTCACCCGAGGGTATGCTTATTGATTTTAGAGAGAGTGGAAGGGAGGGAGGGAGAGGGAGAGGGAAAGGGGGAGAGAGAGAAACATTGATAAGCTGCCTCCCATACGTGCCTCCACCAGGGATCAAACCGGCAACCTAGGTATGTGCCCTGACTAGGCAGCAAACCTGCAACCTTTCAGTATATGGCATAAAGTTCCAACTCACTGAGCCACACTGGCCAAGACTATAACTTTCATATATGTAACTTTTATAATTAGGGGAAAATTATTTATAACTTTTATCATCAGGGGATATATATATATATACATATATATATAACTTTTATAATTGGGGGAAAAGTTATTTTAAGAATGTCAAGGCAGACAGATTTTGGAAAGACTTAGCTCATTCTAACTTTGTAATGGAATGTAGACTATGAAGAATGCATAACTTTAATATTTACTACGTTAGCTCACATCCTTAAAGTGAGAGCTGCATGACGTGCACAGTCCTGACAAGGGCAGGTCCAGAGGACACTCGAGAGTGGGGAGCCCTGGGCCTCTCCAGAAATGACTTAGGGGATGTGCAGAGTCCGGTCAGGGAAAGGTGGGCGCCTGAGGACTGGTGAAATGCCAAGCGTTAGTGCCAACAGAAACTCAGGCGTGCTTGGCAGACAGCCGGGGCTGCATTTGCTTAAGCTGAATAGTAACAAAAACAGTGAATTATTCAGTCCCTTCTGACAATTTGGGGTCATCCCTCAAGTTAAAAAACACACGACTGCTAATAGAAGATGCTAATTATTTTGAAACGCTCGGAGAATGTGATCTAGCACAGGGTCGGCACCCCCTTGGTTAAGTTTTTGTGGGTCACATGACCTCTGTTTCAGCTACTCAGCTCTGTGAGGATAATGAGCAGCCTGGCTCATTACATAAGCAAATGTGCCTGGCTGGCTGTGTTCCAATAAAACTTTATTTACAAAGCACACAGGCGGTCCCATGTAGCCTGTGGGCCCTAGTTTGCCAGCTCCTGATCTTGGAGATCAGCTATCTCCCCCGAACAGTGGAAAAGTACCATCACTTTCTTTTGAGAAATGGTTTTACTTTCACTGCATCCAGGCTACAGAGAACAATAGAATCTGCTCATGTTCGTGCTGAGAGCCTGAACATCTACTGAATATGTCTTCTGTAGTTTTCCAGCCAGGCTGCCAGTCCCCTCTTGGCGGGGGACAATCTGGATGTTTTGTTGTCATTTGCAGAGAGATGAGAGGCAGTTGCAGCCACACAGCTCGGGTTCAAATACCAGTGCAGTCACTTATCAGCTGTGTGACCTGGGGTCACGTCATTTAACCTCGCCCTGCCTCAGTTTTCTCAACTCAAAATGGGGAGAATACAGCACCATCCCTCGAGGGGTTAATTTTGAGGACTGAAGAGTGAATATGTAAAGCACTTGGAACAAAACCCTGGAACACAGCAGGTATACAACAAAAATAGCTGCTGTTATAATGATCTAATCACTTGTTACCTTTACTCAATGTATCAATTATTAGAGAATGTAGGGTTTTTTCCCCTAGAAAATCTTCTGTAGAGCTACTCTTACTGAATATCCAAAACTGTCTCATTCTGAGGTCTAGCCACCCCCACTGGAAGGGGTAAGTGTGGGGAAGGCTTGGTTAAGGCAGCCAGGAAAGTGGAGGAGCCTTGCAGGTTTATAGACGGTACAGTTGGCCCTGGCTGGTGTGTCTCAGTGGATAGAGCACTGACCTGAGGATTGAAGGGTCCCAGGTTCTATTCCGGTCAAGGGCACATGCCTGGGTTGCAGGCTCAATCCCCAGTGGAGGGTGTGCAGGGGGCGGCCAATCAAGGATTCTCCCTCATCACTGATGTTTCTATCACTCTCTCCCTCTCCCTTCCTCTCTGAAATCAATAAAAATACATATATATTTTAAAAAGGTACAGTTGTGTTTCAGACCAGCACTGCCCACGAGACCTTGCTGTGAGAAATAGTCTCTGGATGCCGTCCCATACAGCAGCCATCGTGGCTATGGAGCCCTTCAAAAGTGATTGTGGTGTGGCCAAACACGGAACATTTACTTAACATTAATTAACGAGCCGCACGTGGCTAATGGCGGCCCTTGCGGAAAGCGCGGCTCCAGACAAAGGGAGAAAGCGCTCCTAAACCATATCCCCTGGGATCCGCACACCCAACCCAGGGCCCAGAGACGGACCGTAAGCAGCTCTGCGGGTCATCAGCGCACAGTTTCCAGCACTAAACTAAAAAACAAGTGCGTTCCCCCCTCTTCGCGTTCTAACGTCCTACCTCTTGGCGTTGAAAAGCCTTGGCTCTCAACTGCTCCGCACATTAATTAACCAAATCGAGAGGGAGCCCAGATCGGCTTCTTCTTGATAGCATCCCTCTGCCTGCCCAGAAACAGCAATCCATCAAGGATGCGGGGAGCCAGGAAAAAGTCCACGCACCGCAATAAAATCGCTTGGCACCACATTCAGGACCCTCTCCTCTGATAGGGGTGCTCAGGGAACTTGGGATTGAAAAGGGGAATCAATGGGACGGAGGAGAAGAGAGCCCAGCACATGTTATTGCAAAAGAAACCTGGATGGTTTCAGAAAACATGAAAGAGAAGGAGGAGGGCTCTCCTGAGTCATGCCCCCCCGGAGGGTCCCGCAGGACTCCGCCGACTCCTTCCTGGGGCGTCTCTGCATATTTCAGAGGTACCTTCAGGGTGGTTGGCCTGACCCGGGGACCAGATCCCCCCCTGACTCTTCCACGGTCCTGGAAGCGACCGGAACAGTGGGTCACAGACGGCCCGGCGGCTCTCAGTTAGCCTGCCTGACCTGGTGGTTCATCGGCATTCTCAACAATGGCGCATGCGAGTGGGCTCCAATAGGGCCAGTGCCCCCTGGCCACTCAAACAACGGGGCAGGCTCAATACCGTATCTAAAAAGTCAGGCAAGCCTGGCCGGTGTGGCTCAGGGGTTGAGCATCCACCCATGAATCCAACTCAATACCGTATCTAAAAAGTCAGGCAAGCCTGCAGTGTGGCTCAGGGGTTGAGCATCCACCCATGAATCCAAAGGTCACCAGTTCAATTCCCAGTCAGGGCACATGCATAGGTTGGGGGCTCTATCCCCAGTAGGTGGCATGCAGGAGGCAGCTGATTGAGGATTCTCATCATTGATGCCCCCCCCCCCCGTTCTCCTCTCTCTAAAATCAATAAAAACATATTTTGGGGGAAAAATACAGGCAAAAATGTCTGTCACTGTCACATGGACAGAGGAGGCATTTGGTCTCGGGTTGTCCGGCTCAGCCTCCTTCAGGTCACCAGGTACTTCTCGCATATTCTAACTCCACTGACAGGCCCCTGTCGAGGAAAGAAATTGCTCCCGTGCCTCACTGATCTGTGGGTTCCACCCCGGTGGAGTGTGGGAGGCGGGGGAATGCTAATAGAATTATACTTAATTTCCTGAATAGATTAGTAGGTCAGGAAGGATGAGTATATTGAATCTCTCATCAAGCCAACTGGCTGGCGGCTGTTTCATTGGCTAAAAAGGAAGCACATTTTGAAAAGCACACCGTCTCCCTTTTGCTGCAGAGTAGTTCACGCGACACTCGCCGCCCTGGGCAGCAGGCGTCTGATGGGAACGCGCCACACAAATGACTCACGGTAGCCTGACGTCTCATCTCATAAATCAAACAGACCTTGTCAAAGGGCCCCAAGCCCAAGCCCCAATTACTGGGGAAATGCTTCAGGAAGCATGAAGCCTGAATACCCGATGTCTGGGGGACTTGAATCGGAGGCCGACAAACCCAACCGAGCCTTGTTATAACGGAGGGAGATCAGAGGGCCAAGCAAACGGGCATCACAGCCCAGGCGCTGCGCTCAGAGCAGAAGCCTCTGAAAAACTGGGGAAGGCAGCGAGAACCTCCTCCTGGGCTCCACCGAGCGCCGACTTGCACTTTTCTAGAGCGAATCTCGTGAGCGTGTACAGAGACAATTAGAATTTCCTATGGATTCCCCTGGAATGAACACAGATGCATTCACACATACACTACACACGCACACACACTCTCACACATACACTACACACGCACACACACACACACTCACTCACAAACGTATACACATACACACAACTATATACACACATATCTCTTCCTTAAGAGGAAACAGACTTCGGGCTGTTTTACTCCAGGGTACTTTGAAGTATTGGTGTGGTGCCCCCGAGCCTGGCCAGACCCATCACTCACCTCTGGGTGTCAAAGTAGGAGTCTATGTAAGGATGCGGGGCGCCGGCCACGGCGAAGTTGCTGCTCCCGGTGTCAACAAGAATCTGCAGCTTTTATTTTTAAAGGGAAAAGAGACAGACCATCAGGTTACTTGAATAAGACCATACTCTCTGAATGATTCTTCTAAAAATTAACTACTAACCATTTATTGCTTGGAAACACTTGTATCGATTAGAAAATTTTTAAAAAGCTGTTATAACACTGACATGTGAACACAGCCCATGAAGAAACTTGCGGCAGGGAGCGGAAACGGTTTTGCCTTTGACCCACAGCAAGCCTTACAGAGAACAAATTCCACGGAATAGCGGGGATTTCCTTCCTAAGCCATTGGCAGGAACAAGGCAGACCCTTCTCGCCCTGGCTGTTGCCCAGGTCTGTCACCTGACTGGGCTCACCAACTCCCGCTTTTCCCATCTCACTTGGAATTCCTGATCCAACGGGGGGGCCTCCCTCATTCCCTCTGCATAGCACCTGGGAACTCTGGTCACAGGTCTCATTTGTTTTTTGTTTTAATGAGGTATAATTTACATATAATACAAATGCACGATCTTAGATTTCCCACTGATGCGTTTAGACATGGTGTTCACTCAAACCAACATAGACATTTCTACTCTTTCCAAAAGGTCCCTTTACGCCCCTTCCCAGTCAACCCCTCCTGTTCTGCAATTCCGATCACATCCTATGTCATTTAGAGTTTTTATGGAGGCCTCACACTGGGCATAATTGACAAAATCCTTGGCCATTGGTGACTGATTCAGCTTCTAACCCCTCTCTCCCCAGGGGGGTGAGGCTGAAATTTCCAGTCCTCTATCCCAGGTAGCTCCCCATCCTCAGGGGCTTTCCAAAGGCCAGCTCTGGAAGGGTGTGGCTGAAAGGGACTTGTTAGGAATAACAAAAGGCACCTTTATCACGCTAGTCCAGTGGTTCTCAACCTTCCTAATGCCTCGACCCTTTAATACAGTTCCTCATGTTGTGGTGATCCCCAACCATATGAAGTATGGTAGCAATCATCTCAGGTAGAAACTATAGTTTAACTTTAACCCTGCTGTTTGGTTTCTGTACTTATTTGTTTGCTAAAATAATAGCAAAAATGTGTTTCTGTCAATTCAATGATCCGGAGACCCCAAACTATAATTTAGAGAACATGCTGCTTCTGCTTCTGTAAACTGCTTTTTTGAAAACCAGGTTCCTCATTCCAAACCTTGGGGTGTAATCAATTCCTTTGTGATCTTTGCCTATAAGTCTGGTGTTGGGGCTGGAGCGGGCACTATGAGATTTGGGAGAGCAAGATGCCCCCTCATAGTCCTGGATTTGCAATAAATGTGACTCTTGAGGCATCCTTCTGTGATTCGCAGGGTACATTAAAACACATAAAATTATTTTCGTTGCTACTTCATAACTGTAATTTTGCTACTGTTATGAATCGTAATGTAAATATCTGATATGCATTTAGGCGACCCCTGTGTAAGGGTCGTTCAACCCCCAAAGGGGTCGCGATCCACAGGTTGAGAACCACTGCTCTAGTCACTTAGGAACTTGCGAGGGTTTCAGGAGCTCTGCCAGGAACTGAGATGAAGACCAAGTATATGTTTCTTCTTACGCATCACAAAAGCACCCGTGATCCATGAGAAACAGCAAGGGCCGACTTGATTCGCCATCAGAATGAAACTTGCCCAGCACCAGGGCCACTGTCCCAACAGCGGACGCCCTGTCCAGGCAACATGAGCTAATGCAGAGTGTCCCCCAAAATGTATACTCACTTTAACAGCTGACAGCTCAATTCTGAGAATGAAATGTATTTTAATAAACGCTGCCTTTATAATGATTCAGTGTGTGTGTACCCATTTTGGGGAGACACCCTATATATGTAGCTCCCAGGGCCCTGAGTCTGCATCACTGTCTCCGGGGTTTAAATATTTCCTGGAGGCCAGGTGAGCTCTTCAAGTTGCCCGGGTGGAAGCAGCAGAGACGTGGAGGAGGAGGGGGAATAAAACCCCAGAATCCCTTCATGAGGCCAATCGGGGAATTTCAGGCCTTTCAGAGAAGGGAGTGCAGTGAGGATTTCTCTTTCTCAGTCATGAAAAGTCCCAGATAACAACATAGATTCTGGAACCAACATCCCTCCTCTCCGAGCTGGTGGTCGGTGAGGAAAGCGAGCCATTTCTACAACAGTCCCCTGAGTCTCGTTGGCAACCGCACAGCCGACAGCCCGGCAGGACTCTGGCTCCCAGGCTGGCATGCCACATCCCCACCCCCCACGCCTGCACACGGGCGTGGCCACAGTGGACACAAGGCTATTGTCCTTGGCACAATGGCCCCAGTGACTGCCGGGGACTGTTTTGGCAGACACTGCCCTTCTTTCCTGGGTGTGGAATTCCACCACAGCCTCTGCCTCACATCAGAGCCACGTCCTTGACACACCCCCGTCCTCACAATCCTGCCACGCCACACACTGTGCCTGCTTCACAGAGGCAGGGCCACAAAAGCGGAGAAAGCTCCCCAAACACAGGCTGTGTGACTTTACACCGACGACTCCAGGTGCCCGGGCCTTCTGTCCAGCCTTCCTGGCCAGCTCAGCAGAAGCCGGCTTTCAAGAAAATTCAGAGCCACGGCTGGGCAACGTTGGTCACCGCCTCGGCCGTTCCTACAGTGCGATTCAAGGAGACAGATCACCCCGATAATTGAGGCAGCCACCCCATCAGGCGAGGGAAGGACATCCAGGGAGCAGTAAACACGCGGGGAGGTGGGGGGTAGGGGTAGGGTTGCTTCTAGTAATGTTTCTGAGCAGTAAACCAGCCAACCCCTTCTCCTGCCCAATGATGCTGGGAACAGACATTTCTCAGGTTGATTTCTCCCCAGGGCCAGGGCAAGTAATGTCAACTGAAAAGGAAAAAAAATAAAAATGAATGCTACTTGCCCTATAATTGTGCGCGATCCACTGTAAAGGGTCGGAATGCGGAGACTCTGGGTGCAGGTTTCGTCTGGACACCACACCCCACTCCACAGGCCAGCAACGCCGCCTGCTGCTTCCCTTATCCCGGGAATTCCCAAAACCACTTCCTGCCTCCTCGGGTTCGACGCCACACGCACGACGATCTCACCCCAGAACACACCAGTCACCCCCGTAAGGGACACTGAAAGACATGAAGCCTCACATTCATGGAATGTTTTGTGCTTTCGAAGCACAACCATGCCTGAGAAGCGCCCGAGGAAGATATTATTCATGTCCCACAAGGAGGAAGGCAGAAATGCAGTATTTATTGTAAGTGTGTTGAGTGACCGGGGAAAGGGCTTGGAGATGAAACTTGAAAAGGGGAAGCAGCAGAGAGGGGAGACGTGTCCTGGCCCCTGCAGCTGGGAACCCGGCTGGGAGGAATGAGGTGCCCCCGGCCTTTCCCTAAAACCTGCCTGTGACCCCAGTGGCAGGACCCAGAAATGCTCAGAACTAAGGGCAGGAGCTGATGGCAAATTGTGGGTCCACTTCTTAAAAAACAAACAGCAACACCCCAAACACACTGCCTCCAGCTCCTGCCTCTCCCCCTCTTCCCGGCCGAGTATCTGTGGGCCTCTCCTGTCTCAGTTCTCTCTCCACAACCTGCTGGGACGGGGCTTCTGCCTCGCTGTCCAGTGCCAGCCAAGGTCACACTGACCTCTGTGCACTCACCCCATCTCCCCCGCCTCCAGCCTTCCAGCACCACTGGCCACTACGGACCAGTCCCTCCTGGAAGCTCTGAAAACCCCACCTCCCCAGCCCCCCAACAACCCCCTTCCCAGCCGCTGTGGCAGATGTCGTCCTCATCGAACCGCACTCTTGGAAACACCTTCCACGTTGTTCCTAAGAATTCTCGGTCCCCAGACCCTGCTGCCTCGTTTTCACACTGCAGCCCCGATGTCTTCTCCAGATTATGACCCTCTCTGCGAGAGTGGGGCCCTGAATGGCTCATCATTTCCTCTCCAGCACCTCGGACAATGCCCAGGGCTTAGAAGGTGCTCAATAAAGAGCTGAATGAAGGAAGGAAACTAGGGGATAAGACAGCCTTTCGCTGAGTGGAGACTACGTAGCAGAAATACATATTCTGGGGAAAAGGAGTGTGCTTGTACATTTACGGCACAAATCGGCACGGCACACCTACCAATCAGACACAGAGTATTGAGAGGGCAAAGGTCTTAAACAATCTATTCCCAAGACGGGAGGTAAGATCTGTGGCAATTCTATTACCCACCCCCACAAAGACCTCCTTCTTCGACAGTATCCTCAGTCCTACCGAAACCTGCACAGTAAGAGTCTAGAGCAGCCGTGGGCAAACTATGGCCTGCGGGCCGGATCCGGCCCGTTTGAAATTAATAAAACTAAAAAAAAAAAAAGACCGTACCCTTTTATGTAATGATGTTTACTTTGAATTTATATTAGTTCACACAAACACTCCATCCATGCTTTTGTTCCGGCCCTCCGGTCCAGTTTAAGAACCCATTGTGGCCCTCGAGTCAAAAAATTTGCCCACCCCTGTTCTAGACCATGAATCAAGAGCCACCATTACATCCACGTTACAGGTGGTGGGAACTGGACACATTTAGAACGTGATCGGTTTTTCCTCCCATGTTGAGAGTGCTGCCTTCATGCCCACGTGGCTCTTCACTCAGGGGAGCAGTGACGGGCCACAGGGCCCGCCTGGGTCAAGGTCACTCAGAGCAGGCGCCGGGGCAGGTTCTTCTCCTGCCTGTGTCCGCTCCCTCGTTGACGATGGGGGCGATCAACCCTCTCACGGGTGCTTGTGATGAGTAAACACAGCCACGTGAGCTAACTGCAGGCTCTCAGCCAGTGAGCGATAAATGCTAGTGTTGATGATAAGCACAGCTTCAGCAGGCGGGGGGAAGACTGAGATCGGCCACTGGCGACCATCGAGACAAACTCCATGACATCCCAAGGAACTCTGGCCAAGGACTGGCTCCGGAGTGACTGGAATCCAATGACCCTGAGGAAGTCCTTTAGGAACATCGTTGGGGACAGTCAGGATGTTATCACCATGTCTTGCTCTGCCTGGACAAAGCTCAC